TTAGAAGGTGATGAATCTTATTGTGACAATTATGAAAGTGGATTTGGAGAGGTCATGACTTTATTTAGTAATGATTCCACTATCTTGGAAGAGGTTTCAATTGATTGTGATGAGAACAAAGTTGCTAGTTATGATGATTATTGTGATGACACTTATGCTATAAAAAGTAGTGATGATTATATTTATAAAACTTGTCACGATTATGATTACCCTTTTTTCTGAACATTACTCTTTTAATGTGGAAACAATTTATAGTATTCGAGTTTCTTATGATACTCCCACTATTCTGAATGAGAAGAATTTTGCTTATGTGGAGAATAGTAAATTTTCTATGCTTATAGATCATGAAAAGAATGCTTTATGTGATGGTTATATTGTTGAATTCATTCATGATGCTACTGAAAATTATTATGAGGGAGGAATATATGCTTGTAGGAATTGCAATAATATCAAGTTTCCTCTCTATGTGCTTAAAGTTTCGAAGTTATGCTTGATTTGCCTTCCTATGCTAGTTGATTATTGTTCCCATAAGTTGTTTGCTCACAAAATCCCTATGCATAGGAAGTGGGTTAGACTTAAATGTGCTAGTCATATTCTTCATGATGCTCTCTTTATGTTTCAATTCTTATCTTTTATGTGAGCATCATTGAAATCATCATGCCTAGCTAGGGGCGTTAAACGTTAGCGCTTGTTGGGAGGCAACCCAATTTTATTTTTGTTCTTTGCTTTTTCCTCCTGTTTAGTAATAAATAATTCATATAGTCTATGTTTATATGTGGTTTTATTGTTTTAATTAGTGTTTGTGCCAAGTAGAACCTTTGGGAAGACTTGGGTGAAGTCTTTGCGATCTTGCTGTAAAAAACAGAAACTTTTGCGCTTATGAGATTAGCTGCCATTTTTTACTGGAGAGTGCTTTTAGGTTGATTATTTTTGAAGACGATTAATAGAAAAATTCCTCACGTCCACCAATTTATTTCAGAATTTTTGGAGTTACAGAAGTATTCGAATGATACAGATTACTACAGACTGTTCTGTTTTTGACAAATTCTGTTTTCTATGTGTTGTTTGCTTATTTTGATGAATCTGTGAGTAGTATCAGAGGGTATGAACCATAGAAAAGTTGGAGTAGTATCAGAGGGTATGAACCATAGAAAAGTTGGAATACAGTAGATATTACACCAATATGAATTTAGATTGAGTTCACAACAGTACCTAAGCGGTGATTTATTTTCTTATACTAACGGAGCTTACGAGTTTTCTACTGAGTTTTGTGTTGTGAAGTTTCCAAGTTTTGGGTAAAGATTTGATTGACTATGGAATAAGGAGTGGCAAGAGCCTAAGCTTGGGGATGCCCAAGGTACCCCAAGGTAAAATTCAAGGACAACCAAAAGCCTAAGCTTGGGGATGCCCCGGATGGCATCCCCTCTTTCGTCTTCGTTCATCGGTAACTTTACTTGGAGCTACATTTTTATTCACCACATGATATGTGTTTTGCTTGGAGCGTCATTTTATTTTGTTAGGATTTGCTTGTTGTTTGAATAAAGTACTTAAGATCTGAAATACTTAAATGAGAGAGAGTCCTCACATAGCCAAATAATTATCTGACTACTCATTGATCTTCACTTATATCTTTTTAGAGTAGTTTGTCATTTACTCGTGTGCTTCACTTATATAACCCATGAGTAAATGGTTGAATGAATTGAATATCATAAATCTGAAATTATATATGTTTCATATGCTTATACCATGGGGAGTAATGACTTCATATGTAGGAAGTAGAGGTGATAAATTTATTGAAAGCTAGCAAACATAGTATTGGTCACTTGAACAATTCATGAAAGAATATTGAAGGAAGAGAGGTTTCACATATAATATACTATCTTGGACATCTTCTATGATTGTGATCCCCATTAATTATTTTCAAACTTGATCAAATTAGTTGAAGTTGGACAAGGAAGACAACTTAATGAGTTATGTTTGGGTATATTTGCATAGAAGTTATATTGATGTAGATCCTCCAACATGTGGTGCTTGCCTTTTAGAATCTTTTGCTAGCCAAAATCTCTGTACTAAGCGGGAATACTGCTTGTGCATCCAAAATCCTTGAACCAAGTTTATTCCATGAGTGTCCACCATATTTACCTATATGCGGTATTTACCTGCCGTTCCAAGTAAATTTGCATGTGCCAATCTCTAAACCTTGAAATAATAATCTGTTTTGTATGCCCGAATCGCTCATGTAGCGACTAGTGGCTGTCAGTATCTTCCATGCTAGGTGGGTTATTCTCACGATGAGTGGACCCCGCTCATCATTCACGAGAAAATGGCTGGTAACTGGGATGCCCAGTCCTATGATCAAAAGATCAAAAACAAAATCGCAAATAATTTAAACAAAACTTACCCAGGATTGTTGATAGTTGGACGGCACCCGTTGTTTCGGACAAGCCGTGGAGTATGATTGTTGGGGGAGGGGGAGTAAAATCTTTACCTTTCTGTTTGGGAACCGCCTATAATGTATCTAGTATGGAAGATATTGGGAACTCTTGGTCGTTATGTTGACAATGAAAGCATACCTCTCAAAATTATTTTCATCTCCGTTTTAAAACTTCGAGCTCTGGCACCTCTGTAAATCCTTGCTTCCCTCAGCGAAGGGCCTATCTTTTACTTTTATGCAAGAGTCAGTAGTATTCCTTCTCATTCCAACCTACTTTTTAGTTGGCAAGCATCATATGATGGGGAAAGATCTAAGCATATATGGCCATTCAAATATATTTGATCATGAATTATTATTGTTGACAATTATATATATGATAAACAAGCTGGGAGGCGAAACATTAAGCCCCTATCTTTCTTCGATGGATGCTATTTGTTCTAAAAATATGCTTTGAGTGGTAGCAATCATGGAATACTATATGATAGTTGAGTATGTGGGATTTGCTAAATCAAAGCTCTTAGATAGACCCTTCCTGAAAATAAGATGAATTGCAGTTGTTCGATGACTGAGAACATAGTTTCACTACAAAAAAAATACACTTCCGTGATGATACATGTTTGTCACAGTAGGTCGCGTTTTTTTTTCATGCATGTACATCCATGACGATTTTATGACAGAATCAAGATGGTCATACATGTGCTGTCGTAGAACTGTTCCATGACATTACCAAAATTATCATCACGAAAGTGTCCACTTTCATGACGATAAATCGCGCGTCACAGAAGTGCTTTCGTCAAGGGTGACCGACACGTGGCATCCACCGTAACGGAATGCCGTTAAGCTATCGGGTCGGGTTTTGGATCCGATAACCCGTTAACAGCCCCGACCAATGGGAAATTTCCACGTGTAAAATTCTTATTGGCCGGACGAAACACGTGTCAGCTCGTCAGTGGGTCAGATAGGCGCCTATGATATGTCGACACGTGCCACGGCCCACCACTGGCCCTATCTATAGGTTATGTTGTTAGAACAATCCATGCATGTATTTCATCGGCGTGAAACTCTACATCCAATCTACATGAGACATGAGTTTAGTTTCATTGTGCTAGGATCGATGTCTCTTCTCTTCTACTCCCTCTGTCCCATAATATAAGAGCGTTTTTTACACTAGTGTAAAAAACGCTCTTATATTATGGGACGGAGGGAGTAGTTGACTTATCTTGTGCTAGTTCTTGCTTCTAATATTTATAGTATTGTAGTTTGTTTAAAGTAGTACAAGGTTTTTAAAATCATTTTCTCACATGTCCAGCGAACTAATGTTAATCAGAGTATCTAAGGACGTATCCATGCATCCTTCTACCCATGTGACTAGTGAGTCTCCAACCAAAGTGACCTTATGAGTTTTCTGTTTTCCATTCAGTGTGTTTGCCTACCACGAGGTAGACTAGAACAAATGCATGGGTAGAATAAACCTTGAAATCACAATAAGAAAACACACACACATATATACTGGTATTAACGCCTCAAAGATGTTGGTTGGAAATAGGAGAATTCTCCAAAAGTAGTCAAGAGGCGTGCAACTGAGCCCAGGGTTTTGCGAAAGCACTCTGATTTAGAGAAGAGCACTGCTTCACGTACGATAGAATATTTACGATTTCTGTACGAAGTAGTATGGCTACCGTTGATTAACGCTGGCTCAAGGTGGGTTCACGGTGGATTGCACTATTATGGTACCAAATTGGACAAGCTTTCATCGTACGTGACCCATTTCCGTTTAGAGAAATACTTCCACCTGCCTAGTTACTTTGCCCAAATCAAATTATATTTGGGCTCCCAGGATCTTGATCTTGCTTGAGAGAGAGAGGGAGCGGAAGCGGGAGAGAGAGGGAGCGAGAGAGGGAGAGAGAGATTTTTATGACTAACAGGGTAGGACGCATGTCATACATGCTAATGTTGCCCTGACGCCAGTACAGATTTCAGTAGGCACAACAGCTAGCCTTTTGGACCAGCAAATGTTAAAACATGCTGTAAGAGGAGCCGCTCTTGCTAAAGCACCAGCTAATTTGTGTCTTCCCCAATTACTAGCTTAAATTTCCCTTCCAGCAGACAAGAATTTAGCCAAGTCACATCAATATGACCTACAAAGGCACAGGTTTCAAGCTGAAATTCATTAGTACCATCTTTGGAAAGCCTCTTCTTTTTTGGGAACAGAAGCCTGGAGCAGCCAGACTTGCCTGAAAGTATTCACTGTGATAATGAGGCCATGGATGGAAAATCTTTAGTGCTGAAAGAACATTACCTAACAAGCAGCACTTGTCAAGAGGAAGTAGCACTCAGGTGAGTCACACTGCTCCGTAAAGGCAGACGCGGAGATGGGTCAGTTATAAACGTGTCTTGTTCAGCAAACATTGAGGAGTACCTTTCTCAAGAAGATTATCGATAAATATATCTGTTGCTTCCATGTTTCTTTATGTTATAACCTCCATGCTTCACTGTGAAATATCATTACAAAGTTAATTAGTGAACTCCATTTTACAAGAAAAATCAGGACGCTTCATTGCCTGGTTTACTCTACGAATCCCTCTACCATTTCTAGATCACTGCAGCTATTTATATTCTTCATTTGCTCCGACAGTTCATCCAAAACTTCATAGATCTCTGGTGCTAGAGGGTTTGACCTGTCTCCAACCAAAAAAGGGGTAAACCCATTACCGAGATCAGCCCATGCCAACCCAGGTGCTTTCGTGACACCTAAGTCTCGCATCAGCTTCCTCACTACTGCTAGCTCATCCCAACAACCTGCAGCTGCATACATGTTGGCAATTAGAACATAGTGCCCAGCATTCTCTGTCCTCATATCCAAGAGTTTCCTTGCTGCCCTTTCACCAATTATTATGTTACCCCTGTCATGACAAGCCCCGACTAATGCTGCCCACATCGCGGGTGTTGGAATGAAAGAGCTCTGATTGAGCATCCATTCTGCCTTTTCTAATAGGCCAGCACGCGCATATAGATCAACCATGCAAGTATAATGCTCTGTCTGGGGCTTTAGACCATATGAACTGGTCATCTTGTCAAAAAACTCTTCTCCTTGAGTCACAAGTCCAGAGTGGCTGCAAGCAGAGAGGACAGTGACCATGATAATGTTGTCTGGCTGGATCCCACTATCCATCATCTGGTCGAAAAGCCGTAGCGCAACTGATCCTTTCCCTTGCATCCCGTATCCTGCTATCATTGAAGTGTAGGATATCATATCATGGTCCTCCATGGTATCAAAGACATTTTGCGCTACAGAGAGCCTGCCTGACTTGGAGTACATGTCAATAAGAGAGTTCCACAGCAATCGATAACCTTTAAACCCATGCTTAACAATGTGGGTGTGAAGCTCCCGTCCATGTTGCAGATTTGCAACACGGGCGCAGAGGGCAAGGTAGGTGACAACAGTGACATAATTAGGCTGTCACACCATTTCACGAAGAAATCTGGAAGCCTCCTCTGCCCCATCTGACAATGCAAAACTAGCTATCATCGTATTCCATGTCACCACACCAGGGCACCCCAGCATTGTAAACAGCCTGTGAGCGCAATCCATATCTTTGCACCTGGCATACATGGTGATCAACGCATTGCTTACACTCTGTTCCCCGTGACAGCACATGCGTACTGCCAAACCATGGATCTCCTTCCCGAGCCTCAGCCAGCCAACCCGCGAGCACGCGTTCAGCCCAATCACCACTGTCACGAAATCCACCTCTGCTCCACCCCTTACCATCTCCCGGATCAGCCCAACCGCTGCCTTATGGTCGCGTATCTTGACGTACACCCCAGCGATCGTGTTCCACGTGACCGAGTTCACCTCTGCCTCCTCGGCTCGCATCTTCTGAAACAGCTCCACCGCCCCTTCCCATTGCCCAGCCGTGGCATACGCTGAGATCATCGAGTTCCATGACACGACATCCTTGTGCCCCATTCCGTCGAACACCCTGCGTGCAGCAACCAGGTCCCCGCACTTGGCGTACATGGACACCAGCGCGTTCTGGAAGAACAAGTGGCCGTCCATCCCGGCGGCCGCGGCGTGCGTGTGCACCGCCCGGCCCATCGCGAGGTCCCGGGCCTCGGCGCAGGCGCGGAGGACGGAAGGGTAGGTGAAGGCGTCCGGAGTGACCGCGGCGCTGCTGAGCATTTGCTGGTAGGCGGCGAGGGCCTGGCGCGGGAGGCCGTGGCCGAGGCATGAGGACATGAGGATGTTGTAGGGGACGGGGCAGGCGGAGCCGGCGGCGAGGGAGGCGGCGTCCGGCAGCAGGGAGGGGTGGGAGCAGTAGAGGGAGACGAGGCGGCGGAGGAGGAGCGGGTCCCGGGACAGGCCGAGGGAGAGGGACAGCGCGTGCAGCTGGAGGCCCAGCCGGGGGCTGGAGCCGTGGAGGTGGAGGATGGAGATGATGGGGCGGAGGAGGAGGTGGGGGGCGGGCAGGAGGCTGCGGAGCTGGGAGAAGGCGACGACGGGGCAGGGGAGGAGGCGGGCGGCGGAGGGGGTGGAGAGGGAGCCCAGAAGGGAGGTGAGGGAGTCGGGTCCAGCCGGCGCCGGCGGAGGTGGCGGCGGCGGCCATGGCGATGGCGAGTGCGAGTGCGAGTGCGCCGCCGCGGCGGACATGGGAGCTGCTGTTGCCGCGCGTTGCCTAGTTGGCTCTCGGTGTTGCGGTGACATGTACCGGTCCCGTCCTGCCATCACCGCTACTTGCAAGATCCAACGGCGTCGACGATGCGGTGACATGTCCCGGTGCCCACTTAGAGCAACTTCAATGGGACGACCCATTTGGTCCGCCGCCGTCCGTTTGCATCGGTGCGGACAAAAGTAGAGGTCTAACGCGCCCATTCAAACCAAAAACGCGTTTGCTTCGCGTCCGTGCCGACGCATTTGTGTCTCAAATGCGTCGGCGCGGACGCGAAACGGATGGCACGCGCGCCTTCTCGACGTCCGCCGCGGTCCCACCTGGCGGTCACCCAACTTCCTGCCCCCTCGTCGGTCAGCTTAATTTATGACCTCGGACCAACAAGTCAGCGACGGCGGTCATTCTTTTTTAAGCCGACCGTGTGGCGGGGCCGTCCTCACCCACTTCCTGTCCCCATCTAGGCCACGCTCGCTCCCCCGTCGCCAGCAAGAAAACCCTAGCCACCCCAGCCACCCGAGCCGCCCAAATGGCGCTCTTCTCCGGCAGCTGCAGCAAGTCGAAGGGACAGGCCCCCGTCGTCCCCTTTCCCGCGGAGTTCATCCCGCCTCCGCCTACGCCGGCTCGCCGACAGAGGCAGCGGGTGAACGTGCCCGCTCACCAGGCAAAGTGGCACTGGCGCCACCGCGTGCCGCTGCCGTACCCCGACGTGACGCTGCCGCACGACTGGCATCTGGATCCGGAAAGGATCCCAGTGCCGGCGGCGCCGCGGTCGGCTAGGGCGCATGCGGAGGAGGTGCATCGCTGGCGGGCGCTCCTAACGCCGGAGCAGCGCCGCGATGAGGCGTACGCCTTCACTCGCCCAACTGGGCGCGCTGGTTCGCATTCGAGCACGAGGAGGCGAGGCGGCGAGGCGTGCGGGAGGTCGACCGCAGCGTGCCGCCGCCGCAACTCATCGTCATGGAGGAAGACCAGGCGGCAGAGGACGCCTACCAGGCGGCCCTTGCGACCGTCTACCGGGAGAGCGAGGAGGACGAGCGGTGCAGGGCGGAGGTGGCAGAAGAAGAAGAAGCTCGGTACGAGGCGGCCATGGCCCTCTCCGCGGCCGGCGACTGCGTGGTGCCGCTGGTGGCCCCGCTGTCCCCTCCCCAACGCCTCGTCAAGGCCGACCCGGAGGCGCAGCCGCAGCCGGGCTCCATCGCGAGCTTCTCCTGGACGGGAGTGGTGCGCGAGTGGGTGTCCGCGCCACCGGTTTGGATGGGGGCGGACCCGGCGCAGGAGGCGGTGTACCCCGAGCACTGGTGCCAGCGACGGCTGGCCGAGGAGCGGCGTCGCGGCGAGTACGAGGAGATGCTCAAGCACGACCTCGAGAAGGAGGCGCGCGAGGCTGAGGAGGAGGCGCGCCAGGCCGCGGTTGCACAGGCGGCGGCACAGCCCCCTGCGCCAGAACAGCACCCCGCGCCGGCACTGGCCCCGCTGGAACAACTGCCCTGGACTACATTGCCGCCGCATAGACCACGGCGTTCCCCTGGGCTGGCCCTCCGCCGACGCTCATCGACCTCACCGACCCCGAGCACGACGATGACGACGACGCCTAGGGTGCGTCGCGCAGCGCGCCGCCTCATAGTTAGGTTGTTTTTAATTTCTTTTTAATGCTAATGTGGACGCGTGGGCTATCGCCAGCCTTCCTGGCCGGCTTTAATGTTTAATTAAGTTATTTTCAATTAAAATATGCATGCACAATTTTTTTTGTCGGCGCCGTCAAAATGAGTCGGGCGCGCGTTGGGCGAATACGCCGACCCAAACGCGGAAGCGGACGTCCGTGTCCGCCTGGCCGACCCAAACGGATAAAAAGCGGACGAAATCGCCGTCCGTTTGGGTCGGTCCGTTGGAGTTGCTTTTATAGTCACACCGCCGTAAAACGACCGCACTCAACACAAGGGGGTTTCAATTGCAGCAGTGGTGGTTAAACAGATGTCTAATTTGTTTTTTTGCGACCCTTTCATTAAACAGATGAATAAATATAAAGATTAATCATGAATGCAGAATAAAACAATACTTTATTCCTCTAGGACATATTTCCGACAAATTGGAACAACGAAATAATATTAAGGTGAGATGATCAACAAACTTAAAATTGGAAACAGAGTGGAAGCACTATCAAATCTGCTACTTTGTCATTCCTATTTTGAACCATTCCTCAAGTATCCTAATTCTTGTCATTACTCCCATAGGGGGCATAAGACTAGGAAGTTCCAACTGTCCATGCTTCGTGCTCAAGAGCCAATGAATTGATTGATATAGAGAGTGTCACACGGCTAGATTTCATCCCTAATTCTCTAAGCCAGGCAGACTTCACAGTTTTGCAGGAATTACCCGAGGATGTCAAGGCTGATTTGTTCAATGTACTTCCATTACATAGGCCGATAGATCCTACATGCCGCACTTCAAATGTTACTGAAAATAAATCTCTGAAGAATGGAGGAACTGATGATCCAAAAAATCCAGTGATTTGTGTTCTGCCAGGAAGTTCTCAGAAATGGGCCAAACAGTTCAGAATTAGCAGTTCCCTACAATTGAATGCCATTGCAGAGCAACACGCAAATTCTGTCTTCAGTCAACCTTTATCTTCAATTTTAGAGCATGTTGCTTCCTTCCTCCCTCTGTGTCCTACTCCTACCTCAGGTAGCGAAGAATGGAACGACACACTCTCCCGACTCTCTGTTCTTCTTACAGAGTATATACACCTAAAAGTTGATTCTGTTATTGAAGAGCTGTACAACTGTTTCCTTCTTTTGAAAAGGTAAAGCATACTGTTCAATAAAAAAATGTAATCATACAGCCATTTAACCATTATTAGATATGAATTTGTTGGGTAATTGTTGCAAACCAAGATGTGCATACTTAGTGAACACGAATTGGTATAAATGTTGTAGTTAGTCTAGGAAGGTTATTCATGAAAGCAAATTCTTATTATTAATCACTGAACTTTCCCACTGTAGGTTCTCGTCAGCATTTGAGTTTTTTCTGGAATTGCACAATAGCATTCTTCCTTTACTGCAGGTAAAATTTACATGTTCAGTTATCATCAATTTGGTCGTGGATGACATTGTTAGGATTTCTGCCCTTGTTTATCAACGGTGGCAACGGAGTGTGATGATCGGCTCTCCTTGTCCGAGGATATGAACCGAATCAGGGTTTTGAAGGAAACGGGAATCATGCACACCTGTAAATAGTACTTTCTAGATGAAAGACACCACGAGCTCGCATTTTGCTCTTTGTAACGTAGCCTTTTCTCCTTTGAAATACCTCGGTGTAAACTAAAGAAAGCATTCTTGTGATTTGACACTCGGATTAAACTAGGAATACACCTGTCCAGATTCTAGTTGCTGCCGCGTTGTATGCAATCTGTGTCGAGTACAATCCAACTTGCAAACCTCTGAAAAGATTTATCCTTTTATGGATGCGTATCATGGTTTGTCGTACATATGTTGTAGTTTTATACCAAGAAACAGCAAGAGGTGAATTTTCTCAAATTTGATTGAATTCATGTTGCAACTTGGACTGCAAGTCTGAACATGGGCACGACACGATAACTCGAAATTTTAAAAGGAGGTCTTTGTTGATTGCTCAGTTGCGTGCAGAATTATAC